CCACACCCAGCTCATCACATAAACGTTAAACAACAGTGATCTTTGAGCACTTCTGAGGACTGGGCTTGGCCACAGCTGTACCGGCCTAGGTAGGGAGAAATCATCACTGTGAACTATTTATTACTTCAAATGCCAACAATCAACATTTACTGAGCACTTACTTAGCGCCAGGTATTGAGTGACTTAAACACACATCCTTATGTAACCCTAATAGCCTCATGAGGTCACCGCCATCATCCCCAACTTACACAATAGGAAACAGAGGCTTAGGGAGATGAAGAAACTGGGCTCCGGGTAGTCCAGTTAGTACAGCTGAGCTGGCTCAGGAGGTCTGCCCAGGCCCCACTTTGGGCCAAAGCTCAAGGATTTAGGCCTTGTCCCATGTCTGGCAGCGAACAGGGAAAGACAATAGGAAGGCAGGTGAAGGGCTGGTGAAATAGCACAGATGATAAAGCTCTTGCTGGGCAAGCATGAGGACCTGAGTTCGAATCCCCAGAACACCACCCCCCACCCCCAAAGAAAAAGGAAACCCAAAACAAAATAAAACAAAACACCCAGCAGAGGAGGTTTAGGTTTATAACCCCCTAGCACTGAGGAGGTGGAGACAGGAGAATCTCTAGGACTTACTGCCCAACCAGCTTAGCCAGGTTTGTAAATTCCAGCCTGGTGCACCTTAAATTCCAGCATCCAGGAGGTAGAGGCAAGAGGCTCTTCTGTGAGTTCAAGGCCAGCCTGGCCTACATAGTTTCAAGCCAGTCCAAGGTGGCATAGTGAGCTCCTGTTTCAAAACAAACCAACCATTCCTACAAATCTAGAAGTCTCAGGTCTTAGTGAGGGATATTGTTTTTAGGAAGAAGGCAGAGGCTCAGGGTGGCAGAGCACGCCCATGACCCCAGCATTTGGGACGCAAGGGCAAGAGAACTTCTGTGAGTTGAGGTCAACCTGGTCTACAGAGCAGCCAGAGGGTCATAATAAAACCCTGTGTCAGAGAAGAAACCCCATCAACCTCCTGGGCCTCCACAGGCTACTAGGAATGGCCAGCGTTGCAGGCACCTGTCATCACCAGCCCTGCTCCCTCCCAGCCCACAGAGAGCAGTCAGTCTCTGCCACAGCCTCCTCCTACTCACACCTTTGAGATTAACAGAGCAGCTCTCACCCCAGCAAACAAATCCAGGCTAAAGCAGTCAAATCCTGGTTGGGTGCTTTATACTTAGAGAAGGGGACTCCTTGGTGTTTATTGGGGTATTTTGCAATATTGGATGGGCAAGCTCAGGATATGGGAACTCTATACTAGAGAGAGAGAGAGAGAGTGTGTGTGTGTGGGGGGGGGACTTAACAGAACAAAGCTGAAGGGACTGGGCTTTTCATAGCCTGGGCAACCGTGAACTAGTGGGGCACAAGTGCTCCCCACTGTTTCCATAACTACTGAGAAGAGAGCCATGCTACTACTGCTCCTGTTTTAGAGATGGAGAAAATCAAATTCCGAAAGTGACTGGCATGCCCCAGGATGGTTCTAGAGTCTTCTGCCCCAGGCAGGAATCTACACAAATTTAGATGTCCCACTACCTCCTAGGGACCCTGATTCTGTGTTCTCTCAGGAAGACAGATTACTAGACAGGCAGCCCCAGCCCACTGCCTTTTTAGATACAAAACAGTCTGATACAGAGCCTTCCACAACAGCCTCGCCACCGCCCTCCAGCACCCAACAGCACAACCAAAGAGAATGCAACTTGGTGTGTCTCTGGAGTGAGGGGAGGCTGCTGGCTATCTGTTCTGGTGCTAAAGTCCAAAGGGAAGAATGGGAGGCGGGGGTAGGGGGATGGGGGAGTGGAAGCGGAGGGACTGGTGAATCAATGGACTGGGCACAAAGTTCAAATTGGGCTTGTGCCTAAGAGCAGAGGTCACCTGTTCCGACTCACTGCCAGGGGCTCTACTACTGCTTACCAATGCCAATTTGGCACTGGCAGGAAGTGGGAACTTGGTGGCCCTGGCATTCCCAGCACCAAACTCTGGCAGAACAGGGCTTCTGGTGACCTCACTTCCACTAAACCAGTTGGTACTCTCAGGCTCCGCCTTCAACCTTACGGCTCAACAGTGCCCTTTCCCTGCTGAGGGAGGATCTTCCTGGCTCCATGGATACTGCTGATCTACATGTGACTGCGGTATCGATCAGGTAGAGTCAGTGCATACTGAAGGGACCCTGCTCCCACAGTCTGAGCCCTGAACCTCGCCTCCCTTCCTCCCTCCTTGCTCTCTAGGGACCAGGAGGCTCAGCACAACAGCTCCTGTTTTGCCAACTGCCCCTCCAGCAACTGATCCAAACCGGGGTTGTTTGGGGGAAATACCAAACAATGGCAAAACCCAACCAGCCGGCTTGCTCTCACTGGACTGAACAGAGATGATACCAGGGCGAGACCACTTGCGGAGGGTCGGCTCTGCAGAACGCTGTCTGGCCTTATTCCTGCTCCCTCCCCCAGCCATCTTTCTCCTTTTCCTCCTCTTCTACGGTCCTCCCACCAGGCTCCCAGATACCAGCTAGCGAGCGCTTACTCCTCACATTCCAGAGGACCATAAATCCTCCAGGGTGGCAGAGCCACCACCCCCAAGACGCTTCTGCGCCTCCTCCCGGCACCCCACCCCCACCCCTCGCTCCGAGACGTTGAGACTTCCTCCCTTTCTTAGAAGTCACTTTAGTCTTCAGAAGGATGAAGTCCAACCTGTGTGAGTTAATGATGCACAAACTAGGGACTCAGGAGGTGCGGGTAGGGCTGAAGGGGCCCTCCCAGGGACCCTTTGTTACTCACCCTTTAAGCCACTTTGAACTACCATCCACAGAGACTGAAAAGAGGAGAGTAGAAAGAAGGAAGGAGGGAGAGAGGGAGAAGGGAGAGGAGAGCTCTAAGCTTAGCTACAGGCAAGGATAACCCAGGAATGAGTCTGGGTTGTGGGGCGGAATCCAAGGACTGGGAGCTGAGAAGGGGACTGGGTTTCTTTGCGCCACCTCCCCAAAGTTCAAGGAGACAGGAGATGCAGGCGGCAAAGGAGCTCCGCTCCCCAGCCAGCCCGGACAGGGCGATGGAGTCGCGGGTCGCACTCAGAAGCTTGCCTTAAAAACTGCGAAGGCTCCGGGTCAGAGAGCGGAAGCCGTTTCCTCCTCGCTGCTCGTGTTTCAGAAAGTGCTTGGACGTCCGGGGCGCCCGAGTCTCTCCGGAATCCTAGTCCCACAGTCAGCCCAACCCGCACTTACCCGCTCCAAGTGGCTCTTTTCGGCCTCATTCTGGTCCCCAGCCTCCTGAGTGTCGGCGGCCGCTGGCGGCTCGGCTTGTTCGGACTTCTCCTGGGCGCGCAGCAGCTCTTCCCGGATCGGGACGCCCAGCTTCTTGAGATGCTCGTCGGTATCAGGGTCGACCACCAGCAGGCGCACGGCGTTCAGCGCCGCGCGGATGCGGCTCACCACCTGCTGATGCGTCTCCTTCTCCACATTCTCGCCGTTCACCTCCACCAATCGGTCCCCGGCCAGCAACCCCGACTTCTCAGCCGGCGAGCCAGGCTCCACCAGCCGGATAAACTGGCCCACCTTGCCCTTCTCCCCGTGCAGGTGGAAGCCGTAGCCGTTCGGACCCTTCTCCAGGCAGCAGAGCCGGGGCAGAGGCTCCCCGGCCACTGCGTCCGTGCTCATCTTGCTCTACGAAGGTTCAGCGCGGGTCCCGTCGGAGGCCGGAGACTCACCACCTTTCTCCCCGAGTCGCAGAGCTCGAGTTGGGAGCTGAGCACCGCGCGGGGCACAGGGAACAGGTGTCCGGGGAACCGCGGTTGCGAACGCACAGGAAGGGAGCCGGCCAATCCCCGCCCTGCGCGGCGTCTGAGCGTTCCAGAGCCCGCCCCAGCTCCTAAACCCGGGGGCGGGGCCGTGCTGTGGGTGTGGGTCACACTGAGCCAATCAGGACTCAAAAACCGGAGCTCTTGCGCCAGAGTGAACAAATCTAACCAACCAGGACAGTGGGGCGTGGCCTGCGTTCGGCGCGGCACCCCGCAGCGGGAGAAGAAAAGAGAGCCCAGGAAGTGGAAGTGTTTGTTACCAAGTGCCGAGTTGGGCCGATCGGGCGGGGCCGGGGCCGGGACTGGGCCCGGGACTGGGGCAGGGTTCCAGGTACTGAGCCCAGAAGCCCCACGGGCTCCGTTCTGGTTTCCGCGTCGTGGAGGAGGATTTAGAAGAGCCAGTCTCGGGGTAGAGATCCTCGACGCTTTAACCGCCTTCAGCCAAAGCCTGTTGCATAGCTTGGCTCGAGGGAGGGGGAGCGACAGTTGCCGGGGAAACCACCCTATACCCCCCCCCCACACACACTCACTCCTCCTCTTCCCCAGGGCCAACTTAAGAACCGGACGGATGTCTTCTGTAACACAGTAACACTGTAACAGGGTAACTGTAACAGAATAACTCCGGAGTAGAGTTGTTTAAATAACAAAGTTTCTACTTGTGGAGCCACCGCGCTATCTCTGGACTTGACGTATAGACAGAGCTTTGGGCTCTGATCCCTTCTAGAAACTTGTAGGGCTGGGTAGAGAGACTGAGGCTCCTTGCGGCCCACCTGGAAGGCAGGCTGCCTGAGAGCGGATAAATAAATAATAAATAAATAAAGGGCTTAGTTTTGGCAGTAGCCTTTAGCGAAGGAGAGAGGGAGGGGGAGACAGCTAGATAGTCAATCTCAGGATCCACTTCAGAGGGAATGGAAGACTGACTTTGTTCAAAAGAAAGAAAAACGACTTGGATTGTGAGATAAGCATTCCAGCTCCCTCTTGCCAGGGCAGATGTAGCCACAGAGGCTGGGGGGAGGGTAGTCAGTTAAGGGTGGGTCGAACCTATGAGGACGCCAATGGGTGAGGATGGAATGATTCGGACATTTTCCTCCACGTTCCACGTAACAAACTCTCTAACACGATCCTTCCTCTAGGAATAAACGGGGGGGGGGGGGCGGCGGAGAAAAAAACAATCAAGAGTATATTTTCCAAAATATTGCAATTTAATTCTGAAAAGCACAAATGCCAGAGGCCCAGAGCTATGTGACTAGAGCTCAGGCAATCTGCTCAGAGCCCCAGAAGAGAACTGGGAGCCCAGGCTCCTCCCTGATCTCCCTGTGAGATGGTCACAGAGAAGTTCCTTATCAATCCAAGTTTAGAGTGCTGACTTTGCTCTGGGAGCAAGATTTCTGCCTTGAAAGCAAATTACAGTAACCTCAGAAACGTGCAATGCATACATTCTTGGAACTTCCATCTCTGCCCAACTTCCAGAGATGTAGTAAAGCTTTCTGTAGGTCACGGATCTGCACACCTCCAAGTGTTCTAAGGGTGAGGTCAGAGCTTTGGTACACATGGTCTTGGGCCTCCAGGGCTTCTTTGTTGTCCCTCTCCGTACCCCAGACTTGCCCACACTACCTTGTTCCGTACACATTACATCAACTCACCCCCAAAAGGACAACTTCTAATCCTCTCAACCTGATCTAGTGGAAGAGGAAGAGATAAAACCATTTTGCCCTAGTGTTGGTCTGAAGTTCAAGAGGTGAGCTGGGGCTTAATGGGAAAAAGTGGACGATGGGTTTGTTCCGTTCTGCCTCCCACCCGTTCTAGGAGCCAACGAGTTCTTTATCTGGCTCTGACCTCTGCCTTAAATAGCTGTGGTGCTGTACACCTTGTCTCAGGATTGGGAGGGAGGGGAATTTTTTTCCAGACTCTAACCTCTGGTGTCTAGGAACCCAGGTGGAAAGCTGATGAGAGAGGTTCCATGGGAGACCAGGGCATCCCCTGGGATGTGGGGTCCAGAGAACAGGAAGGGATGTTTTCAGGTGCCCCACTGTGCGTGTGTGCTGGAGAAAAAGCGTGTGCACGCTTCCAGGAGGAGGGTTGGGAAAACCAGAGGTAGCCAAGCAGTGTCACCCTAGTAACTGCTATTCTTGTTATGACAATCTCCATGTCTATCTTTCCTGAGGCTTTGGACTAGCTCCCAGGATTAAAACCCTTCTTATTGGGAAAGGCTGTCTTTCTGGGAGCTGGAAAAAGTCTGGGGTCTCCTTCACCTCCTTAGTGAGGATTGGTGATGGGGTGGGGGTGGGGTCACAACCAGCTCCCACGCCCTAGCAGTGCTTTGGCGCCCCCTGGTGCCATGTTGGTGCAGTAACACTCTTGCTAGGAGGGAGGCCCAGCCTTTTAGAACTTAGTCCCAGAAAGCAAAGGACCACCAAGTTCCTACCTATTTCGGTTTTGGGGGTATACTAGTACCTTTTGTGTTATTAGTTTTTGTATATTAAGATAAAGTGTGAGTATTTAATCCTTCCCATGATGCAGAGAAGATAAAGAAACTAGGGTAACGGCTACCTCCCTGGCAGAGGCTGCCCACTGAGCCCCCAGCTTCTAGTTGGTGTGGCAGTTGGAATAACTGCATCCCCAAGGGTCTCTGGGCCTCCTCTTAGCTCCTTGGGAGTCACACAAAGGAGCAGCAGCTGGAGCGCTTCTTCTGGGACTCCACATAGTCTCGGATCTGGAAGCTGGGCTCATCAGGGTGCCTCCCTGCACGGTATTTCAGCTCCCTGGAATAGGAAGAATCATGGGGTTGGGAGTGTAGAGCCAGACATTGCCCTCCCCCACTACTGACTTTCCAGATTGCCCTCCATCCTTCCTCAGGCTCCCCTTCCCTGCTCAGCTCTTACTTGGCAATTGCCAGAAAGGCCAACTCCACATTCATGCCAGTCTTGGCACTGGTCTCCATGAAGGGAACACCATACTCCTGCCCGGGAGAGAGTATCCTCAGGGCCTGCTTCTGGCCTCTCTCACCAGTCACCCCACCCCATTGCCAGTCACTTACCCTGGCCAGTGTCTCTCCATCCTCAGAACGGATCACCCTTTCGCTGCTTACATCTGCCTGTCAAGCCCATGTGGATGGATCAACTTCTGGGAAGGAAGCCTCCACCCCAGGAAGCCCATCTTTTGCCCCAGGAGCAAGCACTACCTGCCCTCTTCTGGTAGCCTGAGGGACTGCAGGCAGGTGTGATTGGCCTGGGGCCAGGGTTTCTGAGTTGCTCAGGCTGTGTGCCCAATGCCAGCCCTGAGCACTTGGGGAGGTGTGTAACTCTAGCAAAGGGTGTGGTGACCCAGCCTCATCAGGTGACAGCAGCTGAATTAAACCTTTTGTACTTAACCCCTGATCCTGACCCTGTCCATAATGATCTAAGGATGGCTGGCAGCTGAGTCACCTGGCATCTCTGGCAGCAGTTGAGGCTGTCGGTGGAAGGGGCAACTACTAAAGCTTTGGGGCGGGACAGGCAGAAGCCACAAGACGTGTCTGACTCCCACACTGGAGACCTCAGAGTCCTCTGCTGGAAGGATTTAGGTGGCTATGGAGCTGGGTGGGGCTGGTGCTGAGGCAGTGGGAGAGAAAGGTCAGAGTGCACTGACTGTACCACAGAACCACTTACCTTGTTGCCTAGCAGCATAATCACCACATCCCTCTGGGCATACTCATGAATCTCTGTGAGCCAGGCCTGTGGGAGAGGGGAAGCTGAGCCAGGCTGAAGCCAAGGACCAGGGTATTCTTCTCCTAGAGTGCTCTGTTGGGATTCTAAAACCACAAAAGGGCTCAGTAATCAAAAGCAATGTGATCAGCTGTGTGTGGGGACACAGGGTTTTATACTCCCTGCACAGAGGCAGGTAGATCGAATTGGAGGTCAGCCTGAGCAACATATCTAGACCCTGCCTCAAAACCAAAACAACCCAACAACAAAAAACAGGAATTGGAGGTGGAGATGACTAAGGTTGACTGGGGATGTAATACAGTAAATACTTGTCCTGACAATACAAGACTCTGGGATCCATTATTCTATATTGCCTTTCTGACCAATAAATACTGTGATCGATTAGTGATGTCTGATTGGAGATGGCTGGGCTATCCAGTTTCTATCCTTTTATACCTATCCATCTTATCCCCTCAGTTTGCTTGTCAGTCCTCAAGGTCTAGAAGTGCACAAAACCATAACAATGCTGTGCACAGAGTCCTGTTTGTATTTATTGGTTATGATTCTCTAATGGTTTGGCTGTAAGGACACAGCCACTCACTCTTCTTGAGTTGCAACCTGGCCTGGATGCATGTGGATGCTTGGGCTTTCCTCCTGTGGACAGGTGTCCAGGGTGGAGTTGGGACTTTTCTGAACACCGATATACAACACACTCGTGAATCACAGTCAGGGCACATACAGGGCACATCAGCCTGCTTGGCTTCCATGCCTACATGGCAATGAAACAGTCACTACTGAGTGTCTTTGAAAGGTGACAAGTTCTATGGTCTACCAGTTTTTACAGAACTGAAGCAATCTGGTCTGCAGAAGCCCGTTCTGGCTGCTCGTGACAGGCAGGGTTGTTGGGATGGGGGAAGGACCTTGGGGAGGGGAGGACCTACCCTGATGTTGTCAAAAGAAGACTGGTTGGTGATGTCATACAACAGGAGCAAAGCTGAAAGGAGACAGATACAGAGGAATTCAGGGCATCTGCTGAGATGCTGAGGAATAGGGAAGGGACAGAGGACAAGAGGACCTACCCTGAGCGTCTCGGTAATAAGCATGGGTCACACTGCGGAAGCGCTCCTGTCCTGCAGTGTCCCAGATCTAGGAAGAGAGAGAGAGGTGGGAAGGAGGCAGGGCTAGCTGCTGACAGGAGGGCTCATGCTGTGGTGTGAGAGCTGTCTGTGAGCTGGGGGGGGGGAGACGGGGGAAGCCGTTTCCGTCTCTGGGTTTCTCACAGTTCTCACTGGCTCTGATGACCTCTTTAATGGCTTTTCTGGGGTCCTAAACCTGTTTACTGCTGTTTCTTCTCCAGCCTAGGGGTTGGGGCTCCCCAGAAAACTGGAGGGGGGAGGCAAGGGAGGTTAAGTCTCACTGAGGGCACTTTGAGTTGCCTTTGATAGGAGAAAGGCTGCCTGGGAACTGCTTTTTCTGTAGATATCAAACAAAGAAAAACAGTTTCCTCTCATGGGCCCCACAGGAAGTTACCCCAGGCTGAGGCCAGGGCTGCAGGCCTGTGGTTCAGGTTGAGAAGCAAGAGCAAGTTCCTCCCCCCGCCCCAGCTTCTGCTCATACCTGAAGCTTCACCCTGGCACCATCCACTGTCACCACTTTATTCTGAAAGAGAAAAGGGCAGAGGATCGGGATGGGAGGGAAGGGGAGGCTGGCCCCCCGAGTTCTGCCAATTTCCTGTCCTGGTCTCTCTCCAGGCCTACAAGGCAGTGTGGTGAGCCTGAGACTTCTTCAGTCAATAGAGCAGTGGGGACCTGCTCCAAAATTCCAACGTTTTTTGTTCTCATAACCATAGCCAGGCAAGAAGACCCTTCAAACCTGCCTGGTCCTCTGTTGGACTCAGCAGGCAGCACAGGAAGGGTGTGGGAGGCTCTGCCCCTTCCCCACATCAATCTGTCTCCCAGAGTTCAACTTCAGTGATGAGGCACCCATTCACAGCATCCTGAGGCCTTCAGAGGCTGGACCTAGCGGATCATCTTTCCTCCAACTACCCATAATTCTCTCAATAAAGCCTCAGCAACTCCATCCACTGGGAGATGTATGAAGCTTCTTCTGCAGGTCCACCTGCTAGGGCTAGGCCCTTTCTCTCGGGGATCCTTTGATATGCAGTACCCAGTGATCCAGCTTGCATACTGACAAAGATAGAGATCTTAGATACCTGGGAGTGGGGAGTGGGGAGTGGGGTGGGACATAGCCCTGAGATCCACTGCCTCTGAATCCAGCCCTTCAACTACTTGGCAATTGCTTCTTGAAAACTGACCTTGACAGAAGAGCCTAGTTCAGATGACCACTAGCAAGGGGCCCTCAGGACTTAGACCATGAAACTACCTTGTTTTGGGGACACTATCCAAGAGCAGAGAAGAAGGTAGGAAAGATGCCAACTCTACCCAGACTCCTTTGACCTAGCCATCTCTGTGATCCTGTGGGAGTACCTCTAGGGCCTTACAGACGATAAGCCCCAAGCGCCTTCAGGATTCAAAGCATACAAAGAGAGGGCACCCTTCTTGAGCCTGAGCTGTAGCCCAGCTCACTGCAGGAGGAGCCTGCAGTCACCTCACCCTGAAGTCTATGCCGACAGTGGCTATGAAGGTTCCGGACAGGAAGGCCCCGTCTTTGAATTGGATCAGGAAACAGGTTTTGCCGACGCCCGAGTCTCCAAGAAGCATCACCTAGGAGATGGGGGCAGAGGCAGTTAATGGCAGCTGGGGAGGAGAAGGGGTCTTCTGGGATTTCAGAAGCCCTGGAGAGGGTCAGAGAAAGAAAGAGGGTGGAGAAGGATGCCAGCAGGGCAGAGGGACACTTGCCTCCAGTGAGCATGTCCCTGTCATCCCGGTGCCTCTCTCCCCACAGTCTCCTTGCCTTAGCCGCCTAGGTTCTCTGTCTGACCTTCTTGTACTAGTCAATGTCTTTGAAGCCAAGCTGAGACCTCCAAAGTGCTTGGAGATCCCCAGAGAACTTCACATTTTGTTGGTCTGTACCTTGGATATATATTTGCCCATTGCTGGACAGTGCAGAGATTATTGCTGCTCTGAGTGTATGCTCAAGTGTACACAGGTGGGTGAGTCTCCCACACAGAGAAAAGAACCTCTCCTCCAGTAGCCTACCAAGACTTGATGGGCGGGTGGGAGCATGGTGGTGCAGGTCCTTCATCCCAGCATTTGACAGGCAGAGGCAGGCAGGCCGATCTCTGTGAGTTCAAGGCTAGCCAAGGCTAAATAGTGAGAACCCCCTCTACATCTTTAAAAAGAGAGAGAGAAAGGGGGGGGAGGGAAGACTTGACGGGCGGGACATTCTCTTTAAATTACTATTGTTTGCATTTCCTTTTGGGTCAGACATTTATGTGGATGTGTCTAATGAGGACTTGTGTTCATAATAGGTTTGCAAGAATTAGGGAAGGCTGGAATTTATTCTGAGATGTGGAGCCAGTTAGTCTGAAGTTTTTAGCAGAAACCTCCCAAGAGGGACAAATGGCTGCAAAATGGCATCTTTGGGTCACTGTGGAGAACATGCAGGTATGGTGGAGGGAGCTCTTTGCCCAGTCATCTTGGAGAACAGAGGTGTAGACTCAACGCTGGAATGTTCCCAACTGCCTGGTTAGACTGTTAATAAGGTTGGAATTGCTTGAGGGCTCTCTGAACTCGATAGTGGAACCAAATAGCTAAAAAGCTTTTCTTCCTTAGATGTGGGGTCCTGGGATTGATCAGTTGATTTTGATGCAGAAATCGGAGTGGGCCTGAGGAAGGGATGCAAGGCTGAGTCCCTATATTATAAAAACGCTGCTGGGTGCTTTGGGGGAAATTTTCATAATATGTCTGCTGCTTGCTCACCATAATAGGAGAAAAGTGGGGGTAGGGTGGGGCTCATTCCTTTGAGGCCTTTCTAGAGCTTGCCAGTGTCTAGGGTCAACAAGATTGATGCTAACCATTTAGGACTCAGAGAAGAGTGCCCTGGGGTGGGTATCGCTTGCCTGAGACCCCAGACCTAAGGTGCTCCAAGGAGCTTTTCCCATCATGCTCTTCTCCCACAGCTACAAGTCTCAGAACAGGGCCAAGCCTGGCAAGCTGGGGGTCAGCTATTTTGCAGGCGCTGCTGACAGGTACTCTGATGGCTCCAGGGCCCCAGCCCCACAAGGGAGAAGGGGAGGGAGAGAGGGAAGGAGGGAGGGAGACAGGTGAATACTGGTATTTGTGTACTTTACAGATCACAGCTGCCTTGAGCAAATGATGCAGCCGGTCACCCAGCCCATGGAGTCCACCAAACACAAACAGCTGCTCAGCTTTGCCACCTCCTAGGTAAACAGCTCAGTTGTCCCGCAGGGCAGGGAGGTCAGGAGATCCCCATCAGCCCGGGGGCTGGCCATCAGCAGCTCCCCTCCCCTAAGGACTTAGAGCCCCATTTCCTGCCACAAGCCCACACAGGACGCCTATCTCAACGTCTCTGGGTGGGTAGGCTGGCTGACTGGCTTCCCCTGAAACCCTGGGGGTGGAGATGTTAGGCTCCTAGTGAGAGTGAGATCTGGTGTTGGGGAGGAACCAAGGCGCTGAAAGAGGCAGGCATCCCTCAAGACCAGGCATCCACTCTACCTGGCATGGGTCTCACTCATCTCCCCTGAACCCTCTAGAAAGAGTGTAAGCTGCGGGCTGGCTCAGCGTCTCTTTTTAGAGTTCCACCATGTACTTGCTTAAGCCAAGGACACAGATGAGGGAGGTGGTGACCGACGGGTGTCCATGATTCTCCTGCGTCCTTTTGTGCAAGACATTCCTGCAGAACCTATGCACCCCAGAGAGTTGCCTTTAAGGCCGTCAGAGGGGCGGGGGGAGGGTGGGCCACAGTCACTAATTGCCATGTTCTTTCTCAGCTTCTGAAAATTCCCAAGTGGACTCGAAGGCTGACTACACACAGCCTGGGGTGTTAGGAAGGAGCCAGGAGACTATGTTTGGAGGCAGTGGGGAGGGAAGGGTGGGATTTACTGCTGAGTTGGGGGGGGACCTAAAACATTGCAAGTGTGTGACAGGTATCACTTTTTGAGGCTTAGCTCAAAAAGGGCATTAACCTTGAGATGCCTCTGCAGTCAGGGACGCCCTGTCTGTGTCTTCAGAGAGTCCCCCATCTCCCAGGACTCCAAAGTGTGGCAGAAGAGAACTGGGTTTTTGTCCCCAGGGTGGGAAGTCTAAGTCCTTCTGATCTGCCTTACCCTATGCCCTCCGAGGTCAGTCTAGATCCCTAGAGACTGGGATGAACCCAGGGGTTATGCCCCAGACCAGAGTCCCAGCTGACACTTCCAGAGAGGGGTGCAGACAGGGAAGGACAGGGTCCTAAGGCAAAGGACATCAAGAGGGATGTCCCTAAGTGCCGGCCTGGGGGTCCCCAGCACTGAGCACAGAGCCCACCCACCTTGCCGGTGAGATCGTAGTTCGGACTGGAGGGCGGGGAGCGCTCAGGGGCCTCGCCATCCCCAGCGGTAGCAGCTCCTGGTGTGCCAGTCATGTCCCCGGACAGTCAGAGGTGAGCCCGGCTCACTGCAAGCGAGGGAGAGCGCGGAACCGCCCTGCTCTAAGCTCCGCCCACTCCTCCTTCCCCATCCACCAACCGGCTCGGACCCTGATAGACTCCTCCCTCCGTTCCGCCATCCCCCTCGACGACGCCTGCCAGACGCCTGAGACTTGCAGAATGCACGCCGGAGGGACTGGCAGTCCCCCTGAGAGACATTAGCCTAGTTTAGTGCTCTTACAGCACTGAATGAGTCCTGCTACGGGACCAGTCCATTAAGGTCGCAGTGGCGAAGTTAGATTGCCATCGAGGCAGCGGACCCGGGAGACCCAGCTAGCTGCGGAAGGTGTGGTGCTTGGTTTCCTTCTGCGGCTGTGCAGAGTGGCCAGCAGGGCGCGCCCGAGCTCCAGCCAGTTGACAGTCCCGTCCTTACCTGCAGGCAAGAAGCTGGGGACGTCCCTGAGCACTGTTTGACTGGAAGCTGCATTCTGAGGCTAGCATCCAAACAGTTCTGATGGGCCTTAAGCTCATCTGAGTCTACTTTTGTTCACCGACACTCACCTTGGGGCGCATCGACCATCTGGGGAGCTCCTGGGTGGTGTGCTAACACTTTGAGCCCTTTTCCATGTTTCTCCCTTATTGTTGGCCTAAGCCCCTAGTGTCCCACCATGGGAATGCGGGCTTTCCAAAGCCTACCTTTCCAAAGGGGAAATGTAGGGACAGCATTATTCAGGCGACGCCTAGGCCTAGCCACCGAGTGGGTGCCATATGAATTCATGAAGTCGTGGGTCATTGTGAGCCATTTCCAGTACAGCCCAGGAACCCAGTGTGGGGTTGCACATACCAGTGCTCAGTGGCTTGTGGCAAGAGCTTTCAGTATCCCAACGTTGTATAGAAGGGAACAGGATGGGGGACGGGTGTGGGGTGTAGGAAGAGGGAGGGCCCTTCAACTTTTTAGGTGAGGGCAAGCTTTTGGATGATGATGACTTGGGAACTGGCTGTGTGTATCAGCAGGGACTATCTCACGGCAGCTGAGAGGAGAGCCCAGAGCCAGGATGGAGGTGACTTTGTTGTGGTGGGAATTGGAGAGGGGTAGTGGCTTGCCCCTTGCTCACCTTCCACTGAAAACGAATGTTATGGGAGTACATCTTGTCCCTCAAGAGATATTCTGAAGCCCCAGGCACTGGTACCCAGAATGTGTATGTCCTTCCTTGGCAACAGGAACATTAGAGATGTAAGTTAGAATTGAGTCATACTGGAATAGGGGCCCCATGCCCAAGGTGACTGTGTTCTGAGGAAAGGTTTAAAGCAAATGGGAAGAAGACAGCCTCGTGAAGACAAAGGCAGAGGCAGGAATATTTGATGACTCCAAGGAGCATGGTCGATGCCCTGAGCTAACAGAAGTTGGGGAGCGGTAGGGAGAATCCTACTGGGATACTGCTGACACGTTGGTTTGTGTCTTCGGCTTGTGTTGTTGGATCAATATTATTTTGGGAGGAGGTAGAAGCTTCAGGGGTTGGGGCTTAGCTGGTGTTAGGGATTGGTTCTAAAGCTGTCTCAACTCAATTCGGTTCCCCAAAAGCCGAGGTCCCAGAAGCTGAGGGTCTCCGCCCCCCGCTGGATTTGATTGGCAATAAAGGATTGCCTTACAGCCAATGGCTGGGCAGGTAGACTGAGGCGGGACCTGGAAGAAAACAGGAGAATCGCGATGATTCGAGCGAGATGGGTCAGATTTAGAGCTGCAGAAGAAAAAAAAAACATCCAAAATGTAGGTGGAAAGGGAAAGCGGCCCTATGGGAGAGTGCCCAGAAGGTAACAGCGTAGCGAAGTCAAAACATAAAGGCGTTGAGTCAGGAGTACCGGAGGGAAAGGTATGCTAGCTGGGCGGAAGATTAGAACTGCCCAGCCTCTGAGCTAGTCAAAACATATCAAAAATAAGCTTGTGTGTGTGTGTGTGTGTGTGTGTGTGTGTGTGTGTCTTTCTTTCACGAATCCAGAGGACTCTGGCGGGTGCGGCATGAGTGCACTTGACCCTCTGGGAGCCAAAGCGGTTTAGCTAACCTTGCCACTACAGCTGGAGCTAAGCTACTGGTCACAGGTTACACTCGCTTTAGAAGGATGGGTTTGGGATGGAGCAAACCAGGCACCTCCAGAGACAACAGGGATAAAAAACATTCTTACAGAGAACCAGGGACAGTACAGTTCTATTTCTGGGCAGTGCTTGTTAGCATCTCTGGGTTATGTTCCCTGGGCCAGCAGCATGCAGGCAGTGAAGTCTGGATGAGTCATGCTTGTCCCCTGAGATGCTGTAATATCCTGTGGTGTGTTCAAGGGCAGTCTTGAGACAGACAGAAGCATGAGGGCCTTAAGGACCTTCAGAGCGGAGCTGTGTAGAAGAGAGGCTCACTAAAGGGCGGGAAATCATTAGATGTAACCTTCAGGACAGAGAGAATGTTCTAGAACACAGCACCAAGACTTTCTGACCTCTGCTCTGATACTGTGTACATGCCCCAACAGCCCATATCTCTCCCATAGATGCTTCCATCTCATGTCTTACCACAGTCACACACTCCGACACTGACGCTATAGCACAGACATGCCTCAAGTGCACACCTCACACAATCCCTCAAATACAAGCTTCATACCACAAACACACACGCTACATCGCGTGTCGTGAAACATCATACCACCCATCTCCTGCTGTAGTACAAGCATACGCCTCCCAGACACACACCTCGCCTCACCCCAAGCAGATGCATGTCTCTCAGCACATGGAAACCACAGACATAATTTGCATTACAACATGAACACATAAAACACATCAATGCCCACCTGCTCTCAAATTGACCTCATAACTCACATCCTCAACCGATGCCCGAATCACTCTCGAATATAAACCACTGTAAATTACCCAACCTCTCTCATGCCCCCCAGATGTGAAATGTGTGTGCACACCACATTACCCTCCAATCAGAAACCCTCTACTGTGCTGCAGGATACTCACACAGTCTTCCTGATACAGAGTGGGCCAGTGACACCGGCACCTCTGCTGCCTATTTGGAGGAACACCGGGGTTTTTCCCAGACATGCAGATGGACTGAAGAAAACCCCAGGGCTATGAAGCACATAGCCCACTGACTGCAGGGTCCAGATGTGGAGGTGAGACTAGGGTAGAGGTTGGAGCAACAAAATTGACGCTCAGGTTTTGCAAACTGTGGTGTATAGATCATCCACAGCATAGCTCTCGGGTCATGTCAAATGCAGACTCTGTGTCCCTATGATGATCCTACTAAAGCAGCCTCTGAAGGTTTTTACATATGCCCAATGAGTGTTAAGAGCCACGGGCCTCAGTTGTGTGCTACTTTGACCAGAAGATGGGGAGTTTAGACATTGACAGGCCATAGTGATATGATGGGAAGTGGCCAGAGGAAGGCTTTTGGAGATTAATTTTGCAACATGGTGTAAGTAAAACTGGAAAGTCTTAGGAAAGTCAAGACCAGTTGTAACAAGGAAGATCTGATTTGCAGTGGGACAGGGGTTGGTTGGAAAGGTTAATGTCTTGTGGTTTGAATATGAAATGTTCTTGGATGAGTTTCTTTTTAGAAAATGCTCAGTCCCCAGCTCAAGGCATTATTTTGGGAGATGGTAGAATTTTTAGGAGGTGAGACTTAGCTGGAGAAAGTAGACCACAGGCTAATATGTAAAAGTTATGCTTGATCGCTTTAGTAGCTCTGATGTTCTGTCCCGTTAGGAGCCCAGAATCCACAGAGCCAAGGACCACGACAGGAGCTCTGAAATTGTGAGTCAAAGTAAACCTTTTTTCAGGTTGCTTATGGCAGCTTTTTAAAACTGAAGTGATGGAAAATGTAGCATATAGAATTGGTACCAGGAGTGTGGATGTTGCTGTGACTAACCCAACTGTGAGGGTCTTTGCCTTTGGGACTGGTTTGTAGGAGGAATTTGGAAAAGTTTGGAGATGTGGGCTAGCAAAAGTCCCTAGAGTGACTCAGTAGGAGACTGTGGTGAGAGCTTGGATGACCAAAGTGATGATGAAGAACGTGGACAATGAAGATGGTTCATGAGGTTTCAGATGGGAACAAGGATTTTGAGGGATTGAGCTAGGAGCCGTTCATATTACATCTTGCAAAGGACTTTTTAACATTTTGCCTGGGCTCTCAGAGCTGGTAGGGGTCTGTGTTTAAAAGTAGGAGACTAATAAACCCAATGGAGGAAGTTTTGAGGCCGCACAGTATCCAGGCTGTGGCCTAGTTACTGTCAGCTGCTTTCAGCAAGGTTTATAGTGAGACTCAAGAGCAAAAGGCTGAACAAAAAGTCTTGAAAAACTTGCATTTTGTGAGTCAGAAAATCTTGTACAAAATAGGGGCCTACAAAAGGTAGGGCTTCCAGAGAGACTGGTACCATTTAAAAGATGTCTAGTGATTTGCATCAAATATAGAAGGTCTGGATAATATCTCTGTGAATTCTAATGGTGTCAGCACTTCATCAAACCCAGCAATAGGACTCTACATCCAGTGTGACAGGGCTTGTGAGATAGAAGTTGGGGAAAACCAGAACTTGAGAGGTGTCAGCTCCATGCCTGAGAGGCCATAGACCTAGAATTTTCTCAGTGAAGGCAAGTTCATTCTGTGTCTCCTTTCCTCTCTTCATGCTCAGGTTGCATCCAGACTTCTGAGCATGGCCAGCAGGAGCTTGGTGGCCTCTTCTGCCTCAATTATCATCAAAAGTCTGATGTCCAAGCCCAGAGCCAGGGAACTTGCAAATTGCCCTTTGTGCTAACAACAACAACAACAACAACAACAAATTCACAGTTGTGGCTTGAGATGGCTCAGTGGTTAAGAGCACTGGCTGCTCTTCCAGAGGACCTGAGTTCAATTCCCACCACCCACATGGCAGCTCACAAGTGTCTGTAACTAGAGTTCCAGGGGATCAATGCCTTCTTCTGGTTTCCATGGGCCCTAGGCACACAGGTGGTACACAGACACATGTGCAGGCCAAA